ACTTGCCGACGGTGTACAGGCTGCGCATACGCAATCTACATGCACGTGGTTAGGCTGGTCTAATGGTGGTACCAGCTGGGCGGCATAATCCTCGTACGTAGCACGAGAATCAGCGACCAACGCATGCTCCCCGGTAGTGACATCGATTGCTAGCAAGGCAACCGGGTCCGGCGGAGTGAGGAGAAACGTCGCCCCTCTCCTTGCGTAACTCAGTTTTCCGAGTTTGCTGGACGGGGTACGCGTGCCTTGCCCTTTTCGGGGCATTGTGCGGTCGGGGCATTGTGCGGTCACATGGGTGACTCCGTTGCACCAAAGGCAGTATTCGTACTTCTGACGTAGGTCATAGACCTCCTTGGTGATCTTATATGCCGTCCATGGCTGCCCAGCTCCCGTCGCTGTCGTCTCTTGTGTCGCCTTGTTCTTACGAACTCTCTTGGGACGCTTCGGCGGGAGCGCTGCGACAATTCCTCCATCACCCGAGGATGCTGCTGCAGCGTGGTGGTCGTCGGTTTCCTCGGAAATTACGGCATTGTTATGTGCCGGACGTTGATAGGCCTGCTTAGCCACATAATGCGGCTGGGATTGTCTCTCGTTAGCGGCCTTGTCGTCCGTTTGGATGACCAAGTTCGCTCGATCCAGAATGGCCTGGAATGTGGTATAGTCGTACTCATTACCGAGTGCCAACCGCAATCCCGCACATGATCGCGAGAAGAACTCGGATCGTTGATTTGGAAACGTCAAGTCGAAGCCTGGTGTGGTCACTATCTTTTGCCACTTCGTTGTCCAGTCTCGAGTTGGCATGTTCCCCTGAGAGCATGTGTACACCTCATTCATGGCCGCCTTGACGACGTTGCGGACCATGAACCGGGTGAACCATAGCTGCTCGAACTCCTTCCACGTGATGTGCGTGTGGAGTTCGGCAATGGTGCACTTGTGGGTGGCCGCCAGGTGGTTCATCCATGYCTGCGCTCCTCCAATCAGTTGCAAATAGAGTGCCTTCAACATGTCGTTCGCCGGGACAGTGCGGCATGACGCTTTCGTGAGGAAACGTTGCCACCATGTCAAAGCGTTCGACTTGTTGTAGTCGTCGAACTTGCAGATGTCGAAGTGCGGCATCTTGAACGTCTTTGTAGCAGCGTCTGGTTTCGTCTGTAGCTTGGTGATGTCCGTCTTGATGGCGGCCACCGTGCTGCTGATAGTGTCCGGTCCGTTGAAAACACCTATGTCGCCGATGATGGTGACGACGTGATCGATGCGTTCGTTGATTTGCTTCGTCACGTCCGTCGTGCAGCCTGGCGTTGCTGAGGCCTTGGACTCAATGCCGTTGATGCGTGCGATGGTAGAGTTCATCAGCTGTTGCTGTTGCTGCTGCTGCATTGCTGCGTCGCGGACGCCGTCCGTTACAGCGGCCAGGTCTTGCTGGTACTGCTGTCTTTGCTGTCCTTTCCGCGTGCAGGTGTGCCTGCAGTAGTTTGTTGTTCCACATTACTCCCCTCATTACGTTCAACATCACGGTAGCCAGGTTACTTCTCTCTGCCTCCGCCTGTGTCGGCTCCGCCTGCGTTTCCGTAGGCACAAAAATCATGCCTTGGAGTATCGTTGTCCACTGATGCTCACTAGCAATCAGGGACTCCGTGCTGGCGGCATTCCGTCTGTTTCGTGCCGCTTCGTCAGTCTCAGCTGTCCGTTGAGCTTCGGCTGCCGCCTCATTGGCCAGCCGCTGACGTTCTGCCTCTGCCGCAGCCTGCTGAGCCTCGGCGGCGGCTACGACGTCTGTAAATGCCTGTAGCCGCCCACGATAGTGAGCCCAAGACTCGATGGCCTCTCGGACCGGGCATGCGGGAAGATCTCCGGTGGTGTCTTGTACTGTCAATGTCGTACTTGATGCCGCTGGAGTCGTCCGTCTGCTGAATCTCTTGGGTCTTGGAGGTACCGCAGGGCGGGCACGAACTGCGATCCTGGCACTGCGCCGTGGCAGTGCCCCGGTGTCCTGTCCCGTCGACATCCGTCTGAACTGATGCGGTACTTGCGAGGTGCCGGTGTTCACAGAATACAGGGGGGTAGGGAGAGTGGGAACAGGGGAAGAACAATCAAGCAATATACATACAATCCCCTGTCCCACTGATGGACTGTAGACACCTAATCAAACAGAAAAATAAATTTCCCGTAAATCA